AAGATGTGAAGCAGGCCTGGGCAGGGGGGGATGAGGACCGTCTTATGCGACGGCTCACCTCAGCCGGGCCGCTTCTTTTCCCTTGTCCTTTCCCCTCCCCCCTTATTCGACCCTGTGAGGAGCGGATAAAATGGCGGCTCTTTTCCAGCGCGGCAGAAACTGAAAGGGGGGGAGGGATCTCCCCTTCTCCTCTTCCTGTTCCTTGTTGGTTCTTGTTTGTTTTTCTGGTCATTATCTGGCCTCTTTCGTTAAACTGCTACGGAAAAAAGCAGGAGGAGGAGAATCGGCCTCTTCCCCAGTAAATCTCAGGGGGGCATTTTCCGCCCCCTCATAGGCATGTGCCCATGTCTACTGGAGGCCAAAACAGGAGCCTAGTGACCCCTTAAAAACTAATAGTTTATGCCTGCATACATCCCTTTAACTGTTTTGTCATTAATATAAATGCGTTGGCCTAGTGGATATACGCCGAAATACATCAGACGAAGTGACGTCTAACTCACGACAACTTCCGCTGGAACAAATTTTATTAGTCTTTAAGGTGCTGCTGAACTACTATTTAAATTCTGTCACTACAGTCACGTGGCACTGGCATCTTATCTAGAACGGGCACGTTTGTTCCCCCCCCCCCCTGGGCATATACAGATGTGGTGGGTGCCCCCCTTTTCCCTCTTTCCTCTTTAACTAGAAAGAAAAAGAGAGAAAACAAAGAAGAAACTTGTGTGGTGAAATCCAAAACCAAAGTTCATGTAGTGTATTTTGTTAAGATCAACCAAATAATACAATACAACATGCAAGTTTTTGAGTTCCTGAGATTGCAAAATGTGTTGTCATGTTTTTGGGTTTTGCTATAAACCAACACAGCTGCCTACTTTATTTTGCTTAGTTTTGATTGTTGGTGGTTCTTGTGGATGCTCATCCATCAATCAATCCCCTAACACCATCTCCCTGGCCATATTAAACTACAAGAACTAGAAAGATAAAATGGGGTAGAGGCTGGTACCAAATGTTAGGGAAGATAATAATCTTGTTTGTATTTACATTTGGTTTCCAGGAGATTGCATGTTTGCATGCAATACATGACTTCTATATATATTTAGCCAAAGGCAGACGTTGGGCATTATTTCAGTTTGGAAGGGGTTCTTAGTGGTGGGGTCCTCCCGAACTACACTGGCTGCCTATTGAATTCCAGATCCATTTCAAGGTGCTGGTGCTTACCTTTAAAGCCCTATACGGCCAGGGGCCAGCATACCTTTGAGACCTCCTCTCCCCATATGAACCCCAGAGGGTACTGAGGTCCACAAATCAACATCTGTTAGTGGTTCCCGGCCCCAGGGATGTCCAGCTAGCCTCGACCAGGGCCAGGGCTTTTTCAGCCCTGGCCCCTGCCTGGTGGAATGAGCTCCCGTGTGAGATCAGGCCCCTGCGGGACTTACTGCAGTTCCGCAGGGCCTGCAAGATCGATGTAAATTGTCATTTTAATATTGTTTTAATTGTATATTTAACTGTTATACACTGCCCTGAGCCCATTGGGGAGGGTGGTATATAAATCTAATAAAATAAATAAATAAATAATGAGGCTTGAAGGTGTTTAGTTAGAAAGGAAATTCCTCTGAATTAAAGTAAGCTGACTCTGTAGAAAGTGAATGTAAAGTTGCACGTATGAGCTGTTATTGGACTGGGGCTGGCTTCATCAGCTGGCAGGTGCATGCGTACATGTATATGTATATCTGTATGGGGAGGTTTCTTGGTGCATGGGTCAAAAGTTCATGGAAAGCAAGCAGATCGAAAGGCCTGTAACATTTCTGTGTTGAATGCTGATGTATTATTATATTATTATTATTAATTAATTTTGTATCCCGCCCTTCCAACATGGGCTCAGGGCGGCGAACATAGAGGCAAATGCCATACATAAAACAATAAACAATCATTACCTATAAAACAGTTAAAAGTCGGTGCTCAACAGACCATATCAATTCCATAATAAAATGCCAATAACAATAACACACTCCGAGTAAACACAATTGTCTCTGCTCAATTGATGTTACACTATAACTGTCATCCCCATACCTGGGCCAGTGCACCTCATGATGTTAATACGGTGGTGGTACAATGGCAGTGGCAGCCCCTACTCGAAAGCCTGGCGGAAGAGCTCCGTCTTACAGATAAGATAAGAATAGGGGCTGGAAAACTGGTTGGTGATAATGCAAGCTTCCTTGTTTTGTGGAAGATGTCTGGTATTGTGTGTACACAGAAAAATTATTTTTCAAGATCCATGTAAAAGTAGTTAAGGTGTGCATACATGTAAAAAGAAGGAGTAGACAAATGTAAATAAGCAAATGTACTTTTTGTATTTGGAGGGACAGGGGTGGTTCGCATAAATTTTTATTTACTTCATTTATGCTCCACCTCCTCAGTTGGGGGTGCAAAGCAGCTTTGTTCTCCTCTCTTGCATTTTATCCTGACAACAACCCTGTGAGGTAGGAAGGTTAGTTTGACAGTGTGACTAGCCCAGATTTATCCATCAAGAAGCTTCCATGGCAAAGCTGGGATATGAACCTGGTTTCTCAGTTCCTAGTCAGACACTCAAACCAGTACACTGGTTTATACCCCCCAAGTCAATGGCCTTTGAACTTTAAGTGAGCACTCTTAATAGTAGCTTCTCTGCAACAAAGGCCTAGAACATATATCCGGTACTCCCCTGTGGCTGAACCCTGCAGAAGTCAATAGCAAATTTTCTACTGTTAGAAGGACTTCTGAGAAACTGGATTCTATGGAACACATTTGCCATAGATCATGGGTGGCCAGCCACATATGGTACAGCTGAGTTAGTGTGAGCTAGCTCACAGTTTTTTAGCCTCCGGCTCACACATTTTTGTCTCAGCTCAGAAAGGATGGCTCTGGAGCAAACTAATTTATGCAGTAGCCAAATCACTGGCTCATAACTGTAATGCCAGTAACTCACAAAGCAGAATTTTTGCTCACAAGACTCCACAGCTTAGAGGGAGCATTGGTACAGGTGGCATGGTTTTGTGACATAACATCAGGCAGATGTTGTAAAATGAGTTAGTCCAATGGCACCTTTAAGACCAACAAAGTTTTATTCAAGGTGTGAGCTTTTGTGTGCATGCACACTTTGTCAGATGATGAAATGGAATTGCATATCATAGTTGTATATATAGGAGTGGTTTGTTAAATTAGCATGCAAAATAGTGAGTACATAACAGATCAAAAGAATGACAAACTTAGTTCCTGGTTATCATCTGTTTCAGTTCAACTGGGGGGGGGAACATAGGTAATAAATATGTTAGAACTGGAGATTGATGTACCCTAATTTGTGAGAATCCCATCCTTAGACCCCATCCATCTCCTTCCAAGCATGGAAGTGAATTTTACAGCATCTTGGCTGTGTAGAGTGTTTTCCTTGTCCCCAAGACAAAGAACTGCATTTAAATCTACCATTCCAAATTACATTACATTACATATTCAATTATATTCTTAATTGCTAAGAGTAGTAATAACATTTTGCTTCAATAGAACATGGAGTTAACTGTTTTAGAGTCATGGGTGTGTTACTTTACTACTCTCTCTAGAGAGAGCTTCTGCTTTCTCAGGTCCTAATCCAATCTATGTGCTGGAGGCTTGTTCACTAATTATTTTGATATTTTCTGTTTGCATGCATAGTAAAAAAAAGTACAGAATAAATGGCTTTTGAGTAAATGGTCCAATTGTTTAAAATGTGCAAGATCCTTCAGCCTTTTTATTTGGAAGTATGATAAAAACATAAGAAGAGCCATGCTGGATCAGCACAAGGCCGCATTATGTCAAGCATTCTATTAACACGAGAAATATTTCTTGAAAATTTATTCAATGAAACTAAGAGATTATTTGATTACATATCCTTTTTGGTTTGGAGCAAGAACAGCTCAAACATTGCCAAACATAATAATGGTGGGTATCTTTAAGAATGCCCACACATATAGTAGACTTGCTGTCAAGGTGCCCATGATAATGGGATTTGCCTTAATGGAGTGCTTTCAAGTCTGATCATATCCACATATCTCTGAATTTAATCTTTGCTCATTATAAGACAACAGCAGTGTTCTCCCCCTCCTTTCTGGCGCCAGTTGTTGTTTTTATCTTCTTATAGATATCTGGTAGCTCAGTGTCCAATGTGGTATGATGTCTACCATTTGTAATTAAAAGCCACTATTGCCACACTTTCAAAGTGCTGTTGAAAGAAACAGAGTTTGTTTCAGTGGTTTGCCTTAACTGAAAATCAGGAGATTACTTCAAGGTTGTGCACAATATTAAAAGTAATTTGTTTTCACTATTGAGGTTTCATTTTCTCAGTAAAACTTTTCCAACATGGATGCCCTGTTGTGTTTATGGGAATGAACAGAAAATACAAACTAACATAGTGCAGACTATCAGCATCATACTAATTGCTCTCAGTATTGGTAGACATGCCTTTAAGTTTTCACGTGAAACTTATAACAGGTATGGATGGGGTGTTCTGAAATTTGTTTATGATGAACTGTTCTTCAAGATTCTATACTGACGAATAAGCAGACACAAGTGAGACCCTTTCAACTAAGTTGACTAACAAGGCAATTTGTTAGAGGCATGTGTAGATACAATAACTAACTTAAAGTCCAGGTGGTAAGAGCATTGTGAAGAAAACCTGGGGTGATAATTTGTTTAAGTATGGTTCATGTAATTAAACTCTGTTGTTCTTTTAGGGAACAAGCGCAGAACAGGATAACCGTTTCAGCAACAAACAGAAGAAGCTCCTGAAGCAACTGAAGTTTGCAGAATGCCTAGAAAAGAAAGTAAGTTCAATGCAGACTTTGCCACTATATATCCAAACAACTTATTTTTTTTGCAGTGCTGCCCCCTTTTGTGTTTTTTTTAGTGAACATCCAGCCTGACCAAGTATTCTAGGAAACCTTGCATGCTGTTTGGTCCCAATAAAATAATACTACACAAGTTTTGGTTTTGGGAATTATCTGGGGCCTATTGTCTAAGCCCATTTTGTTACCTTCACAGATTCATACTGAATTTTTCTAAAAGCTGCAGAATATAATTGAATTCAAATGTGTTAGACTGCTGCGAATATGGGAAGTCAAAAGTAAGGCTAATTTGTCTCATTGCACTAGAACTAGGAAAAACTGCTTTTAATTTTGCTGCCAGATTTGATTGTGACTAGACAGTGAAGTAGTTTCATTTTACTGTAGCTAGTTGTGGCTGGGTGACAGCAGTCTTCTGAAAAAATATGCTAGAAGAATAGTAAAAAAAATCTGCTGGAATTAATTGCTCTGTGGAAGAAACCATTTTTAACTTTGTGGTTCAGTCATGCTTTCTCAGGAAAATTCTGGCCATTTCTCTAGGTAGGTTAGACATTTTAATTCCACTGAGGAAAGATTTTAAAGAATTATAAAATGCTAAACTTTAGTGGGGAGCTGCGGTGGCTCAAGTGGTTAAGATGCTGAACTGCAGTTTGTGCTAGGTCAGTAGTTCAGCAGTTCGAGACCTGAGTGCCACATGACGGAGTGAGCTCCTGTCTCTAGTTCCAGCTCCTGCCAACCTAGCAGTTCGAAAGCAAGAAATTGCAAGTAGATAAATAGGTACCACTTTGGTGGGAAGGTAACAGCGTTCTGTGTGCCTTGGTGTTTAGTCATGTTGGCCACATGACCACGGAAACGTCTTCGCATAGTGTTATAGTGTAACTTGCAATAACCTATACTGTTTGACAGCTTGTTGGAAATGTTATGCAGATGAGCATAAAATGTAATAATACTTTTTGTCTTATGAACTCAGGTGGACATGAGCAAAGTAAACCTGGAAGTAATCAAGCCTTGGATAACAAAAAGAGTAACAGAAATCCTTGGATTTGAAGATGATGTAGTAATTGAGTTTATATTCAACCAGTTGGAAGTGAAGGTAATGATTTTGCTGTGTGACCTATCTTCATGTTCGTAAATGTATTGCATAATGCTTTGGAAACTGAAACTTCTCTATGGAAAACAGTTGATGAAATTAGGTGGGGATGTTGTTACAATGTATATTTGTGAATAAATCACTTTGTAAAACACTTTGTTAAGGTTGGTAGTTTTAGTGAAAGGTGCTTTAGTTTGCAAAACTGCTCAGGTGGAAAAAAATCAGACTTACTGTGTTGATTTTGCTGTTACATGTTAAGTTACTTTGACAGCAATTTTCTAATGATGATGTGATTTATGATTTAAAAGGCCTGAACCAAAATGGAAGTTATTCCTTGCGTCTGAAGTATAGCACCATCACCTTATTAGGTCACAGCAGAGTGAGTGTCCAATGTCGCTCTGACCAACTCCCTTGATGATGCAGTGTGTGTTTGGAGGTGAGTTGTGTAAAGTGGCCGAACCAAAGACAGACAAAGCATCCAGCAAAGAGCAATTGGGCAAAGCTTTACACTGCTCTTGAAGTTGTGAAGTAGATCAGGTTTAAATGCAAAAGCATTGAGGTGCAACTCTAAATTGGTAAGAGACTTCTCAAAGGAGAAGTTGTGGTATTAAGATCAGCTTGGTAGAAAAAGGGCTGTCTTCAGTTGGGGAGGGGGCTGATATACTTCAGAAAATCAATCCTTCAGATTGATGTAGATGGAAAGCTTAATTAAAGGTGTGAGCCATCTCCTACTGAAATCAATGGTAGAGAGAGAAATTGGTAATGGTACAGCTGGATTGCACCATTGTAATAAAATTAATAGTTTACGAATCTTACAGCATGAACTGCATAAATAAAACTGAGTTCATGATAGTACACTTGTTCATTTATTTTACACAGTCTGCCACTGCATCCCAAGACATGGTGAAGTCTTTTCTTTGAACTATTGGCAAAAAATGCTTTTGTGCTAATATACTTTATGCTCAGTCTTCCTTCCAAAGAGTTCATCTTTATGATTTGACTGAACAGTTGATCTTTCAAGTGAGAAAGGTGTTGCTGTTTAAAAGGGGGAAAAAGGCTATGCTGTATTTGAACGTAAGATTTTATCATTTTTTAACAACCTTATTTGGAAACGTATATGTTTGCCTAGAAATCAAGCTGGGGAAGTAAGTTTTTAAGGGATCAACTGAATAAAGTTTGTACTAGGAAGTACCTTGCTAACATGTAGTAGTATAATAAAACCAAAATAAGCATTTTTTTAGTTCCCCTTCATAGAAAGCATGATTTAAAACGTAAGAACTTTTTAAAACAATCTTTTTTCCTTTTTGTGGTTGTGTACTCATTATTGCTTGTTCGTCTTTTGCAATTTAGATAAATGATATAACATTAAACTCAAGGTGGTTGAGTTGCAGTAGGGAGTCGGAAGCAAGCCAAGGGAACAACTTTCTCTACAGGGGACTTGGCGATTCCAAAACCCCCCCCAAAGTTCCAAGAAGAAACTGAAGACACCTGGAATCTGTACTTGCTTTGTGCTGTTGAGCTGTGCTTGTTATATGGACCTTGTTGCTTTGAACAACAATGTTAGAACTCAAGTGCCCACATGTATTGTGAGCCGCTCGACCTCTTAATCCTTTGTGGGCATTACATAACTGTAAAAAAAAATCCCCAATATGGCAGCTTTTGTTCCATAAGCAAGATGGTGGAGGCTTAGTCTAGTTTGCTGATGGAAGTAAGCAAATGCATGCATAAATTCTTGTTCAGTTTTCACAGTAGGACTTTCAGGTACATTGTAGTTTTATAAATTCTGTAATGTTAAGTAAATGTGCATCTTCTGTCCATTGTATGGATCACAGTAGCAGCGAAACCAAAAAATATTGAGGGACAAGTGCGTAGATAACTACAAAACATTATAGAAGCATCGTAACAGTTGGTATGCTAAATTTTTGCCCCCAGTTGTAGCAGCTGCACAGACCAGAATACTTATGAAATCCACAAAGGATTAACAGGCCATTCTGAATGTAATGGCAAGGTGAGAGAATTGGATATCTGCTAGGCCTTTTATTACTGAACAGCCTTTTAGAGAGAGTTGTTAAAAACTAGAAATGAGTATAATATACTGTAGTCTCATGGTAGGTGATTAAGTCAAAATTAAATGAGTTTGTCTGGGTTTGTTTTTTCAGGTAACCTGTTTTTCTTCCTGTCATGTATCTCTTTGCAGAATCCAGATTCCAAAATGATGCAAATCAACCTGACTGGATTCTTGAATGGGAAAAATGCTAGAGAGTTCATGGGGGAACTGTGGCCATTACTGCTGAGTGCACAAGAAAACATTGCTGGTATTCCATCTGCTTTCCTGGAGCTGAAGAAAGAAGAAATAAAACAGAGACAGGTAAGACTTTCATAGGGTTTGCTGGTAGCAAATGGAAAAGTGATTTCTGTAACAGCTTTGTGCTATTTGCTAGAGTCCTGTTTTCATGAGAGGGAGAAAGCTTTTAAGTAGTTGTGACACTTTTGTTTGGATTAAGAGCATTAGACTTGGACCGGGTTTCAAATTCCAGTTCAGTTGTGGGCTTGCTGGACCACTGATTCAGATAACTGGCTTGAGAATGAATTGGGCAAATTCTGGGTTAACTCTGAAAATCTACCATTTCACTAGTACTTATACTAATTTAATAAATATGTATACATCTAGTTAACCAGTTATGGTTACGCAGTGGGATGCTGTTCCCTTACTGCAAGGTTGAATGACTTTTTGTGTGGTTCGCTGTTTAGCTCACGTTTGTAAAACAGTGTACAGAATTGATGTACCTTGTAAAATCTGTATGTGGTGGGGCAGCTAATCAGCTGTTGGCAGATGTTCTCAAGCATTGTGTTTCAGCTCCTTCACCACCCAAGGAATTTTTGTTAGTTCTCCCCTGAGAGGAGGTCATCTTGGTGGGTGATTCCAACCCCTCCTACCAGGGAAGCAGGAACAAACTCTTTCACTTCTTGTCTTCTTGTTGGGAGCCACCCACTACTCCAGTTCTGTTCCTGCCTCAGCAGGGAGAGCAGCACTAGTCAGGCTATCCATAGCTTTTCTACCTTAATCTCGGGGGTGCCACCAGATAATACATATGAATTGTGTGTTATCTCATCTGCCAGGTTGGGAAGATTGTGGCAATCTTCTAAGGGCATAAAGAGTTGAAATATCATTAACCAAACACTTCAGAATCTTGCAGTGTTTTGTCTTTTACTGCCTCCCATGCCTTATCATCAAGTTAAATCCATCTAAGATGGGGGTCCTGAGCTCCGGTGGATTGGGTATGGGAATTCGGCTCCTGGCTCTGGGTGGGCGCCATTGATGCCAGCACAGAGAGTAAAGAGCCTAAGAGTGATGCTGGATGCCTCATTATCAATGGAGGCCCAGGTCACGGCAGTTGCCAAATCAGCCTTTTTCCATCTTCGGCAGGTTCAGCAACTAGCTGCTTACCTTTCCTCCCGTGAGTTGGCTACAGTGATCCATATGATGATCACTTCCAGGTTATTGTAACGCACTTTACACAGGACTACCCTTGTACCTGACCTGGAAGCTGCAGCTAATGCAAAATGCGACAGCGCACCTGCTGACTGTTGTCTTCACAAGCACACTTTCACCTGGTGCTACGCCAATTGCCCTGGCTGTTGATAGCGTTCCAGATCCACTTCAAGGTGTTAGTGTTAACCTTTAAGGCCCTATGTGGCCAAGGACCAACATACCTGTGGGACCACCTCTCCCAATATGTGCCCTGAGGAGCCTTGCGCTCAGTAGATCAACATCTACTGGTAATCCCTGGCCCAAAAGACGTCTGCCTTGCCTCGACCAGGGCTAGGCATTTTTGACTCTGGCCCCAACCTGGTGGAACAAGCTCCCAATAGAGATTAGAGCCCATTGGGACCTATTATAGTTCCACAAGGCCTGTAAAATGGAGCTGTTACACCAGGCCTTTGGTTGAGGCAGTGAATGTCCAACCAATTTGGCCCCTCCTACTCAAGCCGCCCTTGATCCTGATGGCAACAAATTTTCCACACTGAGAACCCATACCAGTCAGGTTCCATATCCACTTTGATGGAAACAGGCACAGGATACCACAAGTTTCTGGAATGCCGTCTTGTTTATTAAGGGAATTGGAATGGTTGTTTTTAAAGTTGATTGATCTTTGTTGTTATGTTGTACGTTTTGATGTGCCGTGAGTCCGCTTGTGGGCTAGGGCAGGATAGAAATTAAATAAATAAATCAAGTCCTAGAGGCAGAAGCTTTGTGATGTGTGTAGCATTTCACTTGGTTGGTGTGTTCTGTCGTATTCTCTAAATCAGTCTCCCACTTTAGAAGTCACAGCAGAATCTGTGTGAATGGTCAGTTCCTTCTGAACTTCTGTACAATTGACTGCCTCTAAAGGGGTGCAGTTTCATGCGATATGAAGAATATTCCTACTTTTTTCAAGGCCATTGAAAAATTTTTAATATATCAGTATGCATGGCTTGATGTTTTCTTCAACATTGGCTCCGATATTCTGAATAGCAATTTTTTAAAAAAATGCTTCTTCACTTACCCTTTAAGGTTAATTTTGTGGCAGAAATTGCTAAGGATGCGAGTAGCTCTTTGAGACAAAAAGACCCATCCCGGCTGGGTTTGAATACAGTTTCTTGGGCATACCCAAGCACTTATGTAAAGTTGCAGGCTCAGTATCTGAGCTAGTATACTGGCTTATAAATCAGGCTGTCCAAATCTTGTTTCTTTCAGTAATTAATTGTAGTTGGTTTTTAGAGGCAAGCCACTCTCTCCGCTGTCCTGTCTTGTAACATCTGGATGAGAATAATGAAATAGCATATCCAAGTTGAAGTGTTTTGAACTGCGCTGAAGCACTAAATGATTATGGTGGTGGTGAGGGGAGAAGTTCCTTGTATGGATTCAGCATTGTGTTTGATTTAAGACAATGATCTTTTTTCAGATTGAACAGGAAAAATTGGCTTCTATGAAGAAACAAGATGAAGACAAAGAGAAGAGAGACAAGGAAGATAAAGAAAACAGAGAAAAAAGGGACCGGTCTAGAAGCCCTAGACGGTAGATATCTAACTGTTGGCATTGTCATGCATGAGTCCTGCCTGTAGTTGAAGTACTGTGAAAGATGTACTGTGAAAGATTTGTTAGCCAGCATTCATGGGGCAGTGGAGTTGCCAGTTAACAAAGATTTACCTGGCTGGTGGCCAAGTGACTTAGCCTTCAGTTAACTGAACTTTCCAGGTAAATTGGTGCCAATAGCTTTTACTGTACTCAATAATTAAATTATGGAATTTGTTATCAGTGGATGTAGTCACTCCTGGAAGCATAGATGGCTTTAAAGGGGTATGTATGCGGAGGGGGTAGGCAGATTCATGGAGAAGAGGCCCATCAATGGCTACCAGCTGTAAAGACTAAAAGGAATCTCCAGAGGCACTTAGCCTCTGAATACCAGTTCTCTAGAGGATGTCATCAGGGGAAGGTCTTGGCATCTATGTCCTATTTGTTGGACCTGTGTCAAATGCTGCCCTGGTCTGATCCAGCAGGGCTGCTCTTACATTATTGTGGACATCTGGACCTCTTTGGTAGTGTAATTTATTATAGACTTGAGCTCCTTTTGGCAAATGTGCCCTGCAGTACTTGGCAAAGGTTTAATACTCTAACCACTAAAACTTAGCTTCATTAAGTTTTATATTGAAAGTGAGTTGTAGACATCCATTTTACCATTCTAAGCCAACAGGAAATTTGCTGGAAGAGAGAAATGGAAATGCTTAGTTGAAATGCATATCTGTTTGGTATCTTTTAAAAATTGTTGCTAAATACATGAAATCAAAATTGATTCTGTTTAGGCGCAAATCAAGATCTCCTTCCCCTCGAAGGCGCTCTTCCCCTGTGAGGAAAGAGAGGAAACGCAGCCATTCCCGTTCCCCCCACCATAAAACTAAGAGTCGTAGTGTTACTCCTGCACCAGAAAAGAAAGAAGAGACTCCTGAGCCAGAGCCTTCAATCAAAGTAAAAGAAACATTGATACAGGAAGCAACATCTACTAGGTATTCTTATTTATTCTTGCCTTTATATCTCAGGCTTCCATACCACCGTTATTCTGGAACTTGTTTTCTAGAGTCATTTTATCATGATAGGACTTGCCTCTTATTTTTAGAGCTTTACAAATGTTATTGGAAGTTGTAGGCTTAATGCATGGTGGTATAGTACTAGGAAGGACTGTTGCTTGGTGGTAGAGCAGCTGCTTGGCATGCAGAAGTTCCCAGGTTCAATCCCTGGCACCTCCAGTTTAAATGATCCGGCTGTGGATGATGTGAAAGACCTCTGTCTGAGACCCTGGAGCGCTGCCAGTCAGAATAGACAATAATGACCTTAATGACCTGACTTGTTGTAAGGCTACTTCATTGATTGGATCCAGCTAGGTATGCCACACAGTCTCCCCCAGTTTCCCTCCTTATAACTTCCCCCGTCTCACATTACTTTTGTCCATGCAAGTCCCATGATTCCCAGTTGAGTATTTGTGGTGGTTGAAGGGGACCCCCTGCTTCCATTTACAGCAGTGGAAAAGCTCATTGGATCCAACCCCCTGTGTTCTTGTTTGTGTATTTGCACTGTTTTTTGTAGTGTTTTGGCTCCCAAACAAAATTGACTTGTACAAAAATGGGACTATTATTTGAGAAATGTCAAGTTGTATTCCTTTTAATACCTTGACCTAGATAGCCCAGTCTAGCTCGATTTCATCAGATCTTGGAAGCTAAGCAAGGTTGACCCTGGCTAGTATTTGGATGGGATGGGAGACCTCCAAGGATTACCAGGGTCATCGTCATGACGCGAAGGTGGGCGCTGGCAAACCTTAAGGGGTTGCCATAAGTCAGCTGTGACTTGACAAAACACACACATACCCATGCTAATATAGCATCTGTCTAGCTTGCTTAATTCAATATTAGTATTAACAAGAAAGGGGACCCGCAATACTCGCGCGGGGGGG